CAAAGATTTAATAAAAATAGATTTAGAAGAATTTTACGTGATTACTTTAAATTGAGTTTTAAAGTTTTGGTATGGAGAGATTTAATAAAATTAATAAAATACGTTTACCAAAAAAAAAAAAAATTTCAATCGGTAGTGAAATTTATAATAATTTATATAATTCAGCCAAACCTATTCAGTTGTACAAGTAAAGTTGATCGACTATACACAAACCGGCACATTAAGAAAAAAATTGTCCTGAGTAATAATTTCAGATAACAAGAGGCAACAGACCACGGCTTTTAGTATTCTATTCTTCCGGCTACCAATTAGTCACCAACCGGCATATGCATGATAGGTGGTGATTGACCTTAATTTTATAATGTATTAAAACGAACGCCGATTGATGACATTTTTATATCCTGCCATCAATCGGTCACATGCTGGCTGATGACTGATTGACAAAACAGTCATTAATCGGTCATTTGGTTAAATAAATATGCCGAAACTATTAGTTCTAGCGTTTTTTAAATGTAAAATTACAAAAAAAAATGCCGAAACTAATAGTTCCGGTGTTTTTATATGCAAAATCGCTGAAAACTGATGGTTCCGGTGCTTTATATGTAAAATTACGTAGTTCGAAAAAAAATTAAAGAAAAATCCAACTGAACGGAATTGAACAGGCCTAATAAATTCGACCTGTAGGTGATGACCCAATGATGCCTGATTGGTTTATGATTGACAATTAGTCATCAGTCTGCTACTAATCGTCATATAACTGATTGGTAACCGATTGGAATTAACACCTGATTGATGACTGATTGGTAACTGATTAAAAGAATCAGTAACTAATCAGTTACCAATCAGTTATATGACCGATTGGTGGCCGATTTATTATATTTTGACCTGTGCATGTTTTGTGTTAGGTATTCTTATATATTACTTATGGTATACCCATTGTTCAATTACTTATTTTTTATGACGGGGACAGGACAGGGTTAGTCTTACTGGTTCTACAGACCTTCTAGGGGCTTACCTGCTAACCTACCTGGTTTGCTGTCTCACTGCTTCTGACAGATGAATAGACTGAATCTTGATCATATGACAGATTTATGACAGTATGACAGATCTGGGGGGTAAAATCAAAACTTTTTTCTAGGGATTATCCTCTCCCGATATTTCTGAAACATCTGTCATATCTGTCATATCTGTCATACCCCTCTGATTCCCTCTTATTTTCCTTTCTTTTCCCTTATTTTATCATTTTTTAGTATATTATTATATGACAGATGTTTATAACAGATGGTGACAAATATATGGGAATTCCTGAGCCCCGTAGGGGCCATATAGATACTGCAAGGCCGTGAGGCTGAGGTGGGTGGAGCGGTAGCAAGACCCACATCCAGCCCGATGACACATATGTTAAGGAGCATGATCAGTCTGATTTTTTAGATATTGAGGAGGAGTCATGGGATTGGATCGATCGGCATGCACAAATTTGCAAGTATTTACTTGACATAAGGAAGTGCGAGGATTGAAATTGTTGTAGTCAACCACATGCACCTGAAATTTATAATATTTTATCTGCAAATAATGGGTTTTTGCCACCAATTACAAAAGGTTGCGACAGACATTTTCTAAATCTCGTTCATACCTTGGAATATTTCAGAGAAAAGTTACCAGGATACAATGAACATTGTCCCAGTATTTTCCAAGATCAATATCCTAGTTTCGTATGTCAAAAATGTTTTAGATATTATCCAACAAAAATGTTTCTAAAGTTGCATATTAAAACGACTCACTCAAATGAAAAAGCACCAAAAAGTGGAGTAACAAATGAGGAAACTGAGTCTTTACCGCGGGATTATGGATGTAACGTTGAAAATACTAAAGATAACGAAATTTCAAATCATGAAATAAGGAATGTTCAAGTTTTCCAAGTAGAAAAACCAGTAAAGAAGGGTAAAAGTAGGCCGTTTCAGCAAAATTTGACAGCAAAGCAATGGGAACAAGATCATCTTACGTTTAAGATATAACATTTAAACATCTTTTTTTCTTAGTATTAATATAATATAATAAAACATTAAATTTTTTTCTTAGTATTAAATATAGTTTAATGAATTTTGTAATCATTTAATATCGATGACAAAAAAATTTTAATAAATTCTTAAAACAATCACATGTTATATGATTTCTAAATTTGGGGCCCGTTAAAGCGGGTAGAATCACGTGATTTAAAATTATTATGATTTGATAAATTTTTTATAAACTAAAATTAAAGTGAACTTGAAAATCATTAAATAAGTGTATTTCGGCCTGCTCCACAAGTTTACTTAGGGAGAAAAGGTGGATTTTGAACAATGTTTTTGACTTTACATATGAGCAACCAAATTTTGCTGATCATACCCAAAAAAGGATAGATCAATTTTAACGAAATTGAAAAAGTTGAATAAATCGAAAATGGTGTTCTAAACCTCATTTTGTGCTCTAAGTAAACTTGCAGAACAGGTCAAAATGCGCTTAGTATATATTTATTTGGAAGGTTTTATATATAATAAAGAGTTTTATTTAAAAAAAAGAAAAATTTCAAAAGTCACGTGATTCTACCCTGCTTTAACGGTCCCCTAAATTTGGAAATGATGACAAGGGGGGGAGGGGGTCAATTTTCCAAAACCCTAAATTACGTCATTTCTGGCCCTCCCCTTACAGGTAGAAAACCTTTTTGGGATAAAAGTCATGATACAGATCTTATTATTAAAATATGTGATGGAGTTCGTCCCCCAATTGTAGAAATGCATCTAAAGTATATTGAATTAATGAAAGAATGTGGCATTCTGATCTGAATAAGAGACCAATAGCAACTGAATTAGAAATAAAATTTCGAGTATTTGGCACGAATTTCTTAATTTGTATTTCTAAATCTCTAATTAAGAAATACTGAATAAGTTTTATGCCATGAAAACCCAATGCCCGAAGAGTTTTCTGACTGTTTAGTAAATAAATCTTATTTTACCCAAAAAGATTATTAATGATGAGCCGTTTTATTTATATGGTTCATATTAAGGAAGTATCAATCCAAATGGAAATATAAATTCAGCAGATATTGGGCCTATAATAATAAATAACCCAGGTGCTACTATATATATATAAAAGCAGACCTCTGAGCGTTATGATAAAATATGCAGAATCTACCAGAAGTTTAAAAACTCAAAGTAAGAAATATTCTTTATATCCCATCTCAATTAGTTAATCATAATTTTAAAAAATTTGCCTCCTTTAGATTGTTTGACAAATAAACTTGGGAAAAATGATGCGCCACTGCAAATCCTATATAAAAATCCGTAGCACAAGCACAGACATCCAATTTAAATATTCAGGGTACACCGTCGCACACCGATTTTTTTATGCAAGAAATGAAAGCATACAAGCAATACTAGTTTTTATGAATAATTTGCAGTTTTAATTTTTAAACATTTAAGTTTTACGCACGATGTAAAGTAATATCTCATCATAATTTTAAAATAAAGAATTTGACACTATATACAGATCGCACTATATAGTAAACGATATCAGGTGATCTTCATTTTAATAGTGATATTTCTTGTGATTGGTTACTTTGCTAATTGGCTATCCTGGAAAGGAAGGAGAAATTCACTAATTTGGTTAGCTCTTATGCGCTAAGTATTTTTATATATTGAAATTGATATTGAATTGATATTGAGTTGATATTGATATCAATATTATGAACAATGGTTGTTTATATATAAAAAAAACTTTTGATCATGATCTGCGGTATGATCCGAACAAAAATCTGAAAGCTAACCATATATTAGTATCAAGTAAATATTTATTATTTATATACATTATTCAGGAGGCTAATTGTTGTGATTAATTATAATAGGAATTGAAGGAAGTTAAATATATAAAAGCAGTTGAAATAACGAATCTATATTATATAATTAAAAAATACATGTTGATCTTCTAACATTTAGATTATCCTGTATAAATAATTTTTGAATTGTGTACCGCATGATTCAGTGCCTGATTTAAGCTTAAAAATTAAGGCCATTTATTTGATCGGCAAACATATAGGTTTGTATGTCAAATCTATATAATTATAAATCCGTAACAGAGTAAAGTAAGCTAATAACCTAACTATAAAATCGGGTAGGTAGCAAGTAAGTAACGGAAATTGGCTAAGTAAGTAACGTAAAATTACTATTTTAGGTCAATTTACGTTACTCCCTTATATAAGGCACAGATCATCTGGGTTTTTTTTTCAATATGTCACATGATGTACAATATATAAAGTAAATTTATTAATCGACTGATGGCTGATTTTTTTCTTAGCTAATTTTTGATCGGTTAAAATTTTATTGCAAAGATATTTTTTAAATTTTTTTTTGCAAATATATTTATTCAAAATAATCTTATTTAATGAAATTTTATTTGCAAATATTAAAATTTAAGTCCCACATTTTCGATTTTAAAGAAAAAAAATCACTGTATTTATTTTTAATGAAGTGATACAAATAAAAAACAATAACAATAAATAAAAAAGATCATTAAATTGCAATGATCAAGGAGAAAGATGCTAATAAAAAAAATGAGATAACAATGGAGTAATGGAAAGTAATAGAAGAAGTAATGAGAAGTGATAGGAAACAAAAAGGAAAAATAGGACATGATGGATGATGAAAAAGAGTGATGAGAGACGAAAAGAAGTGATGGGAAGACGAAGAGGGGTGGTGAGAGACGAAAAGGAGTGATGGAAAACGAAGAGGAGTGGTGAGAGACGAATAGGAGTGATGGGAGTGATGGGAAATGAAAAGAAGTGATGAGAGGCAAAAAGAAGCGATGAGAGACAAAAAGAAGTAAACAGGAGAGAAAAAGAAATAATGGAAAATGAAAAGATGTAATAGAAAATAATAGGAGACGAATAATGAGAAGTAATATGAGGTGAAAAATGATGAGACTTTACTTTGAATCAATGTTATTTTCCAGTATGTGTTGCATTCTCAATAACAATTAATAAATCACAAGGGCAAGCTCTGAGCAGGGTTGGTGTTTACCTACCTGAACCTGTCTTTACACATGAGCAATTATATGTTGCCTTCTCAAGAGTAACTGTATATCAACATATTAAGGTTTTTATAGATAATGGTGAGAACTGCAAGACAAGAAACATTGAATACTGTGAAATATTTCATTCTATAAATAGAATTCACATTTAATAAATTTATTAGATTATTTTCTTCTAACCTTATCATACTGTAAATAATATTATTAAAATACTAAGCCTATTTCTCCATATCATTGTTACTTTTCTGGGCAAGTTTTATTCCCGGCGCAGCGCGACAGGTTACACCTAGTTTTATTAAAAAAAAATATATACCTGAATTTTATTAAAATATATATATCCGAATTTTATTAAAAAATATATATTTTTTCCAAATTTTATTTTATTACAGTAAAAATATATATATACCCGAATTTATTAAATTTATTTATTGAAAAAATATATAATCGGGATTAAAAAACATCATACAAACTTAATTATTAAAAAACATTATATGAATTTAATCATTAAAAAAAATTATATGAATTTACATTTTATTAAAAAAATAAAGGACAGAATTCTTTTTATATAAAAATATTAATTGTGTAGACATAGGATCGTCCAAATTTTGATTTGAAATATCCATATCGTGTGAAGTAAATTTTATTGAATAATTTTATTTTGGTTAGAAATGAAAAAATTTTTTAAAAAAAAATTTTTATAAATCTCAAAAAAATTCTTCTTTTAAGGCCAATTACAAGATTATTAAATCGAAACGTAAAAAAAATAATTAAATTATTTTAGATGAAAAAATAATAAATTAAATTATTTATTTATTTTAAACGAAATTAAATTATATTCTTACCAATACTTTTGTTTCTGCAAATAAATGTTAAAATTTATAGTATATATCATACTCTTAGTAAGGCCCTAGGGTATGACTCTAGTTTACTATATTAAAAATGCGTGTTTCATTCCAATGGTGCTACAAACTTATCATAATAAAAAAGGATGTATTTTAAACACTATGTATTTGAAACGTATTTCTATTTTTAAAAATATCTTTGTTACATAAATTGTTATTGCAAATGCAATAATAAATATATTTTATATAAGACCTTTGTTGATGATCGTAGTCGCATGGTAGTTTCTAAGCTTTAAAAGTAGATGATCGACATTTTTGGATTTTGTTACGATTCTCAATAAGGACGAACCTAATTTTATTAATTCTATGTAAAAAATTAAACGAAATCCAATCTGGTTGAATTTTCACTCGTTCGCATGATTCATTACTATTATTTTCCTTTTTTTTTGCGTTTTTGAAAGATTTTAAATTATTAAATTATGCATTTGGTATACTTAGGAGATATCACTAAAAATCCTTTTCTTATTTGATAAAATGCACATATAATTATCGAAATATGTTAATTTATCTCTATTTTAAAGAGGACGCAATTATCACTAGTCATCAACTTGTAAATGATGCTCCTTTATATAAAAAAAATCGATTTCATGTTTAATTTTGGAAAATGAAAAAGACTCGGAGATTGAAGTACACCAACAATTATGAAATTCAAATAAAGTGGATGAACAATATCTTTTTTTTAAAAACTTTGTAACACTTGAAACAAAAGGACTTGTTGACATTCAAAAAAAAAGATCAATAAACATGTTTTATACAGAATGCAGTTTTATTTGTCTATTCATATGCAACAATCATTGATTAATGACGGTGATGTTTAACTGACACCGATCATGTGAGTGGCAAGATCGCGTTGTTTATATTTATCTGGTTTTTTAAGTGGTCCACAGCTTATTTGACTCTATTTGTCACAACTCGGAGAAATTTGGAGGGACACCGTGATTGCCTTGTATTACTTATTGTTTACAAAGAAGTGATACGAACAATTAATAAAACATCTTTGTTAAAAATTATATATAATGGTCATAAATTTGCCAATGTTAAAATCTTGTGTTTGATAAAAAATCTCTACATAATACATAATCTTTAAAATCTTGTATTTGATAAAAAAAATCTCTACATAATACATAACCTGCTAAAAATTCTAAACTCATAAAAGAAATTATAGATAAATTTTATAAATTTATAATCAACCAAAACATTGAATTAGTATTAAATGGTAACAAGAAGAGAAGATGATACGCTTCAGGGCATTCTTCAAATTTTTTATAAGAAACTTCAAATTACTGAAAAAATACTTCTTTACGCATATTTAATTGACATGACTCTATACACATTTTTATTTACTATTTATTTATTAGTATCTGGAAAATTTGTTACTAATATTGCATCTCTTGCACTGATACTCTTTCCTATTATTTCTGGAATAACAATGGTAGGTTTTATTTATTTATAAATTTGCTTATCATAAATATCAATTTTTTTGACATTCTACTTCATTTATAGTTTTACAGCAAAACAATCTTACATGGAATTTCATTCCTTGTAGTACATTCCTTTCCTCTTATCGTAGGCGTGTTCCTTTTTTACACGCAAAGAAACACTTGTTCGGATTTACCATCAGAATTTTGCTTCTTTCCGACAAATGTAACATTTTATACATCAGGCGTACTCTTACTTATATTTTTAATTATATCCACGATATTTTATTGCACAATGATATATCATCTTTGGTCAAAAAAGTAATTTACGACAATACTTCATATTTATATTTTAAATATGTAATAAGTAGTAAAAAACTTACAAAAATTTGTATAATTAATTAGGATATGGCCTATAAGACATAAATATCCATACATAAATGATAAAGATATAATAAGTAAGTGAATAACAATTGGTTCTCATAATAATAAATGCAGCGCTAATTTTTTTAAAGAATAAAATAACAATTGTTTCTTTTATCCACAAAATTCTAATATTTTTTTTTATTTATTATTTAGGCATGGATGCTATATACCAAATACAATTCCCAATTTTCCATGCGAAAATCATGATTATAGGATTGTATACAATTTTATATATATATACGGTTTGGATTATAAGCATATTAGAGAAAAACCTACGTGGAATGAGAATTATTAATTTTTTTGTCCCATTAAATATCGTAATTATATATTATGCATATTTGATGTTGAAAGGTGTAAGTATCAAAAATATATTATTAACTATAAAATTTATCATAAACTTTCTTAATAACATTTTTTTTTTACTATTAGGTAAGAGATGAGAAAAAATGGATGATGTACATCGTATATTTTGGGAACATTTTTCAAGCCATCTTTTTATATTATGCAACAAAAGATATTTGTTATAGTTCTCATAAACCATTTTCTTTTACATATTGTTTTAAATATGGCGCTTTTTTCGATGTGTTTTGTAGTTTAACAGTAATATCCTGGATAATATTGATTTTATCCACATGGAATTCGATTAGATGTCAAAGAAATTTCGGGTTGCATCTTGGACAATTTCGTAAGTAAATTTAATCTATTGAAAATCGATAGAATAGCTATTTATTTTACTAATATATCATATATTATTTTAAATTTATTTTTTAATATTAACAGTAAAGTATGAACCGATCCCTGATGTATTTAAATCAGGTACAAAATTAGAAAGTATAGAACATATTTTGTAATAACAATTCTATAAATAATGGTAAAGAAAACTGGTTATAAATTGTAAAAAAACCTTAACGTTTAAATAGTAAATTAATTTATAAACATGAACATAATACAAGTCACATTAGAAACCTTTTTTTTAATTTTATAAATGATAGTACCATGCATTTATTTTACAAGCAAATTAAAGAACATATAATAATTACACCCAACACTAGAACACAAAAAATTCCTTGTATAATTATCCACCCCTTTCATAAACCTATTATTTCCTTCAATAGATTGGAATAATTATTATAAATTGTTTATTTTATCAAATTTAATACGAAGAACATAAATCGTTTTCTTCCAATATTCACTGGTCGAATTTACACTAGAGAAATTTTATATACACGTCACATTTCATATTGATTTACCAGAAATTTCAATTAAATCCAATTAAAATGTACATTGCAGAAATTTGTACTAGTAACTTGTCCAATTTCCATGAAATGTATAGTAATTTATAAGTTTCTATTATATAAATGTATTTTAAATTGCGATATTAAAGTAGGGACTGGAATCGATTCAATCGAAAATCGAATCTCAAGAATCGATTAAAGATTTGATTAATCGTATCAAAGCCTCAATTCGGGGATTTGATTTTTGATTTCGATTAATCGAATTAATATAATATTGCAATGTGATTTTCTACTATTTGCAATATCATCCGAACCTGGTTCAGCGTCATGAAATTCTGTATTATAAAGTTGAATTTAAATGATCGACAATTAAAATTAAATGCCAACAGTATGACAATATTATAAATTATTATTATAATAAATTGTAATATTCCAATTCTATTCTAATTAAATAATATATTGTTTTAAATAAAAATGGTGAATTTTTATTGGTCGCATTAATTCATAATTCTGGCCGGCATTATAGTTTTGGCCAGAATGTTCAAGTGCAGAATCTTTAATTTTATCAACGTATTTAGTAATTTGATGGGATTTTTTTTATCAAAGTACAGTTATAGAAATGGCAAGATTATTTTCACTACACCATATTGTCAAAATAATTGATTTATTGAGATTTGATTATTAGATTCGATTAGATTTTCAATTAATTCAATTTTGGTTGAATCGATTCCAATCCCTACTTTAAACTAATAACACATTAAAACGAAATTTTTTATGTTATAAAGAAATATTAATGAAATTTTACCATATGTGCAAATATATAGCTAAAATATTAATAATAAATACAATAAATGTACTAGAGATTTTATATAAATTCTATATATATTATAATGAAGTACAGTACAGTATACAGTCCCCTCTCGATATAATGAACCCTATGTCCCAGCTGATCAGGACTTCATTATAAGCAAATTTGTTAATGCTATAAAGAATTATTCAGTATAGTATAACAAATTTTTTGGTATGAATAGTATGTGGATTATGTGATTCACCGATCTGATCAATTTTTTTATAAAAAAATTTTTTTTATTTTAATATAGTACTAACCAATTGTTTTTTTTATTTTGTAGGAATGGACCTTTTGGTCATGGCTCCTAGGCGATTTCAAGGGTGTTTTATTAATATTTAGTATAAAAACAATATGGGTAAAACATGTGGTAAATGTGTAGAGCAGATTTACTTTAAGGAAATTTAATAAATAAAAATCGTCATTTTACCAAAAAAAATTCATTATAAAAAGGTTTATTTTGTAGGGAAATATATATCTAGCACAGGGGCGACACAATTAAATCTAGCATGATATATTAAATATGATCTGATTGGTTACAAACATGTGATTCACTACCAAATTTTTTTTTTATGCAAAGCGAAATTTAAGGTGCATCGCATTTCCTAATATAAAAATGAAAAAAAATGTCATAATTAAACCCCTTTAAAAGTGAGATTTAAGATACATCGCATTTCCTAATGTAAAAATGAAAAAAGACATCATCATTTATAACAATTAACCCCCTTTAAAAAGCGAGATTTAAGATGCATCGCATTTCCTAATGTAAATGAAAATGTCATAATTTATAACAATCAAAACCCCCTTTAAAAGTAAGATTTAAGATGCATCGCATTTCCTAAAATATATTATAAACAAACACCTTACACATTTCGTTTAATGCAAAATAAACAAATACTTTTTCTCACAAGTCTGTTTATGACTTGTTAACTATCAGTTATCTTTCAGCTTTGCTGTGTTGTAATAACCGAAAATATAATAAAATAGAATAAGGATAAATAATTAGCCGATGGATAAATAATTAACCGATGGGTAAATAATTAGCCGATAAAATTATATTTATAGTTTAGTTTAGTGTAACAAGATAGTCATATGATAATAGATCTTTTATTTTCTTAAATTTTCTTAAATTTTTATTAGAAAAAAGATAGTCGTATTAGAAATAATTTTCTTAAAATGTACAAATATCTGCAGATTTCGTTAGAAATTCCACAGTTCGATTTTAAATAAATAAAAAATTTTATTTCACCCTTAATAATAAACTAACATATTCTTTTTGCCTTTTTCTTATGATGAAAAAGTGCCTCATTAATTATTTTAATTAATGATTTATTAAAATATTAAATTTGGGGAAATTATCGCAAAATTAATATTTGGGTAAGAAATAATGTTTTGAAATTTTTGTAACTAATTTTTATTTTGGACCAAGCATAGATATTATTCGAACTCAACACGTCGGTAGCAACATACGATAATTTATTATCCTATGGGTGGCATGTCACAGCGTCCTTATCTTCATTATCTCTTGGTTAGTTTAGTATATACTTCATTTTGTTTTGCTTTTCCTGATAAATTTAACAAACTCATCATCCACGAATTTTCTATCTTTAATTTGATAGATATTATAAGCTCTAATGAACGTATATCCAGTTGAAATTAGTCCTGTTAATGTTAATAATATTATAAATGGTATACAAGATATGGAAGATATAGAATATTTTAATATAGATAAAGAAAATAATGATGATTTAATAAGTACATATCTCTGTTAAAACGCTATATGATATTAACATATATAAAACTAATGACTAACATATTTACAAGCAGTTGCATCTGAAGATATTTCTGAAGATATTTCTGAAGATATCAAGTTCGATACATGAGAAGAAGTTGATAACTATTTTGATGAGTATGATATAAGAAATGGATTCGCAATTGTTAAATATAGAATGGAACGAAATAGTAAAGGTCGGGTTTACAAAAGAACTTTGATCTGCAAATTTAGAGGAAAATACAAATCTAAAAAAAAAGTAGAAGCAATATTAAAAGGAATACAACGAAATACCAAGACAAAGAAATTAAGTTGCCTGTGGCATATAAACTTAACTTTTTCTGAAAGTGCAACACAAATAAGTATTACCCTATAAAAAATATATATACAGTTAGTATACTGTATTTTCGTATTTTGCGAACAGTATATTTATAGTATTATTACCATATAATTACAGTATTTTCACATACTGTATATATTCGGTATTCTGCACACCGTATCATATATATGGTTTGCATACAGTATATTTTTCCAGTTTCACCCGTATGTTTTATACTTGTAAACAGTAGAAAAACTGTATGTTTTATACTAATAAACAGTATATTGTTTTATATTTTATATTGCGAACAGTATACTTTTCCAGGATAAACCATATATTTTATACTAATAAACAGTACTTTTTTCCAGTTTAAACTGCATATTTTGTACTGATAAATAGTATATATTATTCAATTAAATCGTATATTTTATATTTGCAAACAGAATTTAAAATGCATTTATAATCAATAAAATTTTTATTAAATAATATTAAATATACAAATATTTTTT